CATCAAAAGATGTTAATAAAAAAACATATGTAAATATGTTACTAGAGTATGTCAAATGACGCATAATTTCTCCATGACTAGCTCATTGTTCCTAAATGTTTAGGATGTCATTAAAGCAGGTTATGACCTCATGGTGTTTGAGTAACTGCTGCTTCTAAAATATCAGCGGTAAGAGACGAGGTTGCTCTAGTGCAGAAAATGATGCAGGATGCATCAAGCACTGCGAATGCCCTGATTCCCTGGAGCCTTGACCAGCTGAAACCCCTCCCCCAGTCAAGTGGGGAAAATGGACAGTGCAGTACTCCATGAAATGTAGTTAATGCCACCTTTGCGTTATTTGACATACTCAGAAGTAGAACAACTTTCATGTGTATATGGTATAAAGTGAGAAAAATAAAACTGTGACGCGTGATGATCACGTTATTACAATTACAGCAAATTTTCTGCCCAGCAGCACGGCTTTGACAAGGGTACGATAAAGATACCGTTCCAGGTATAGCAGGACTTTGAAGAGGGTACAATAAAAACACCGTTCAAGGTATATAATAACCACGAAAAAGAAGACTAAACTCGTCGAAGTAACCTCAAGTGTATTGCAGATTCAAAGTGGATTATATTCACAGGCTTATTCACAGATTCCCATCACAGAAACATAGCAACGATGACCTTATTATGGCACAGTTCCTGATCCGTCTTTGATACACTCGGTCGATAGATTTAAAAACGCTCAAACTTACCTGCTAAAAGCTCAAAGTTTCCTTGATAAATCTTCGTTGTCCCCGTACAAGACCACTACAGAAATTTGTTTACGGCGTCTCTGAATTGGACCCCACTTTTCTATCTGTGTCAGCGCAACTTCATCCATATAAGAAAACCGGCTGACGATAGGCAAAAAAGCTTTACCGGCGGATATCATCAAACCCTTTTTACAAACAGGTTTCGCTTCTGCTGTGTTTTAAAGTTTTGAGCCGGAGGATGGTGGCGTTTTAGCGAAAACAAATATTTTGAAGGCATATCCAATGTAATGTAAGAATCTGCAGAAGACCTTGAATTACGGTCATCTGCTGAATAGTTATTGCTGATCGCTTTTCGAACACATACTTTACTTGAAAAGTGAGGATTCGCAGTCGAGTATCCTCTTACACCTGCCTGTATTCCAGCTCACAACTGTCACTGTTCAAAAGCTTGCAATTCAGTGGCTGCCTTAGTTCAGAATGACAAGGCTTTGTACCTCGCCAATGAGTTGTTCCTCTTCAAGGTTGATATATCGCAGCCGCGATCATTTGGACGTGTGGATCAGGTTGTCTCAAGAGATGTATGCAAGGCTGACTTTCTTCGTAGGGCCACATGGCAATAATGGCTCAACGAAAAGAACGTTTCGAGTACGTCAAATGACGGGCATTGCTGTGGCGTACAATCCAATCATGGATCGTCTGATTGAAAAAACCAAGGAGGATCATTGGTGAAATATGTTAAGGATAATACCCCCAATGATCGAAAGTAAACAGCATGCTTTGAGATTGAATGGGCGAACAAACCGGTGGATTAGAAGAATCGTTCCCAATTAAGTAATTAAATCTACCAGAACAATTCAAAAGAATTTAGTGGCAAGTATTAATGTCTTGGAATAGAATGGTTTGAAGCACAGTGTGAAATAATAGAATGCATTGATAAATGGACGTTTCAAGCAGATTGACATTCATCGCCAATTCTCATGGCCAGCAGAAGCCGAAGCATATGTCACTTGATAGATGCAGCCAGTTGTTTGCGCTGTCCCCTTAACTGTTTGCGATTTATACAGGGGAAGCTAGAGACCACCTTATGCTACTGTATACTTCTTATCCATTGAGAATATGAGCGTTTAAAGCACATTGGCAACTGCTGCTTGGCTCAAGATGTACGTTGTTATCATAGTAATCTAGAGGCTCACATCTCCATCTCAGATTACGTAAATGGTGTTGAATTAGTCGCTAGCGCTTGGTCTATGAGACTGCATGAACAGCAGCATTCTTCTGTCAGAGGTGTGATAAAATGTACGAACAAGTTTCTGGAAAAGCCATTTGCCATTTCCCAGGCTTCATAACTCTAATGAATCAAGTAATGCTATTTTCTGTTCATTTCTAGGTATGATCTGTGAACAGTTGTCAAAATTATTCTTCCGTAACGCCTCTTATTCTTGACCGCCTGAATGCCACCGTGGCCGAATAAATGTTGAAACGATTTCGCCGTGTTTAATGCGGGGGTTTACATGTCTTGTATCTCATACTCCTTCTTTTCGGATTTTATTCACGGTGTAAAGAAGAGGAAAGAGGAAAGTCTTTAACTATTGGAGTATCGGTCTTCCCTACAATTTCATGATGTGGCCATTTTTGGCACCGGTCTTTTCATGAAGTAAACAGAGCAGTGCTGATATCTCTTTCCATGTCATCCGCTCATAATGCCTTATTTTAAAAGCAGCTTTATTACACAGCAGCTCTGCGACGCAGTATGTAGTATGCAGTCTTCTGTTTACTTCACACTCTGCGTTTACTTATTTATCAACATCGGAATGAAGAAAGGCAAGTGATCCAACGGGGACTCTAACACGGAACCTCTCGATTCTGATTCTGACGCATTACTGACTGAGAAATCCTGGTCTGAAAGAACGTGTTGTAAAATCCATGCTCAATGGTAGGCTCATCTGCATTGTTAGTCCTGCAGCACCCTCATTTTTTTCCTTTGTTTTTTGACTCAAAATGGTTAGTTCAGAGTTTAACACGGCCTTTTAAAGTGAGAGGAAAGATGCTTCTACGTAGATTTTTGCTTAGGTTGCGCATGTAAGGTAGTCACACTACCTTTCTGATAAATGTGCCGCTTTCGACTTTCTTAAGCTTGTCAGTCTGCTTGATTTGCTGATGAATGGCTTCAAAGTGTTTTGGATAGCACCTCTGTTTCTTATTGTTCCTCTGATATAATTCAGCTCTTTCCGAATGTCACATTCATCAGAACTCAGTTTCTGACATCGACTGACAAGTGTTTTAGCGGCGCCTTTTACTGCTCCATGCGGATGATTTGTAGTAAATCGTGGAAAGCTCTTTAGTATGCTCTAGTTTGTAGTAAAACATTGTTTTCTGGCACATCTCCTGCCGCGTAACCGAGACATTCAAGAACGATGAATTGTAGTTTTGATGGTGAATTTGGTGTTGTCTGCAAGGAGGCTTTTCATATGTTGTAAAAACAGGATTTTGTGTCATTCTTACAAATAGCAAAGATATCATTTACAGACAATTTATAGAACACTAGTTAAATGTCGCCAAGTGATGTTTTGTAGACGAATGTTTTCAAACGCTTCAATAAAATTTTGGCAACGGTGTGCGTATCGGAACTTTTGAGCTCCGCTGCTTCTTTGGAATAGTCGGAAATAGTTGTTGTCTACTATATATCATGAAAATTTGTATGGTCTACATCACGGAAACGGGTAAATCCATCAAAGAAGGAAATAAAGAACACCATTCCAAACTTTGCACTGATTTAATAAAGAAGACGATGCGCAGCAAAGACGAGGTAGGCGGCTAACAAAAGTTTCTGTACTTATCAAAATAGAATGCAAAAGCAACTCGGCTTTTAAAAATTATGTCGCTGAAAATCATGAAATATATTGGCAATGCTCCAGCACAATCTGTGCCAGGAAAAACTTTATATTCGGAAAGATCAAAGATCTTTTGATGCTAACCAACAAATTTATGAATAGGTGCAATGGTCTGGATCTAAGCACTATCAGGACTCCGGCTGTTAACAAAGCGTTGTCAGGGTTAATCTCTGCTTGACTCAGCGAAAATCAAACTTTGACCCAAAAATGTGACCCTGCAGATCTGTTTGTATTACTGTACTTTAAAATGTACCGAGCATGGCTCAAAATATCGTTGATTTGCATAATAAAATGTGTATGTGGATCAATCCCATGAGAGAAATAGCGACTGTATGTTGTTATTTATTGTGTTAGTTGAACCAGATACATTAGTATCTGTTTGTATCATATACGCTGTAATTAGCCTACCAAGCCAGCTTTGATTATTGTGTGTAGAAGCTGTGGTACTTCATATGCAAGTTAATTGTAAGCGCGTGTTGTCAACGCCATGCTTCCTGTGATATGGTGGCAAAGTATTTATAGGCTGTATATGATTCACCAAGAAAAAAATATTAGTTTGTTGTTCTGAACTAGCGTTCCAGTTGCTAAAGTTGGATACCAGTTACAAACGTTTCTTACTCTACACCGATAGTGCTGTAATATAAGGCTATGGAAGCCATTTCACCGAGGTGAACCGCAACATGGCGCCGCCCTCCTGATTCTAGTCGCCTAGGGAGACCATTCTTGTCAGCCACTGCTGTATATGATTTTTAAACTCCTGCAGTGCATCGATTTATATGCCGCGTTTTTTGGAACATTGCAGCTCAGAGCTCTGGTTGGAGCAAAATGAATGTTTTCTCTATGTAATGCTTATTAACCAGCAAACATTACAAAAATAATTTTTTCCTTTGCACCGTTACTGAGGTGTTGTAGGATGGATACATGTCATTGCTTCGGTTATATCGCAGTCTTACATTTCCTCCTTGCTTCAAACCATTTAGGAAAACCATGCAAGCAGGCCACGGCTCCATGGTATTTAAGCGCCTGCACAGAATACAAGACCACGTCACCGAGTTGAAACGCGCTAATTTGTACGTGTAACTGAAGGAAAATGTGAACGCCTATTAACCCTTGGGAATTGCAAGAACTGCCCTACTTTACTCCTACTTTTATCGTGCTATAGCCATGACTGTATTTGCATATGTTAAATATCCTGTTTTTTTTCAAGAGGATAAGATACATCTCAACTAGAAAATGAGTAAGTGGAAATGCTGTTTCTCACTCTTCCAAATTCGAGAAGAGCTGTTTTTGATAAACTGCTGATCATATCGAGGACAGCCTTACACGTCGAGTGCCTACAAATTAAATTTCCATGACACGATAACTGCTGTGCATGACGTACGGTGATCAACATGTTCTTATTGTAACGTAACGTCGCCTAGAAAGATTGACTTTCTGATCTGTTATAATAGGGTGGCGTCCCTCTAGGCAATTTGTCAGACAAACGAATTAGCGTGCACAAGAACAAGTTCGTGTTGAAGAACCTGCAACCAGCAGACGAGGGGACCTATACGTGTGTGGCATCGAACTCAGAGGGCAGAGTTACGTACGATATCCAGTTGCACTATTCAAGTAGCGGAATTTCATCCTGATGTCCGACTGCGTCTATTCACTAACGACTGATTCTAGAGGGTGCGTACTTCGATACTCCGCTGCAGAACATCACGGTCGTTGAGGGCAGCACGTTGATATGGCCGTGTCAGGCGAAGGCGGTGCCGATGAACTTGAGATACCGATGGCTGTTCCAGGAAAAGGAGTTGCAGTATGGCGACACGACACTTCCGTTCCGTTCAAACGTCCAGGTATTTATTTAGTGTTCATTTTTTTCTCCGGTTGAGACGATGACACTTAGGGTGGAACGTTGAAGATATTTCCCGTGTTAAAGGAGGATCAAGGATGGTTCACCTGCGAGGCTAACAACGGGCATGACTCCATCGCCACCTCACGAGCCTTCCTGAACGTCCACTGTAAGTTTCAATGTCTGAGCTGGTTTAAACTGCTTTTATCATTGTTTCAATAAATATATTTATTTTTGCCTAAAAATAATTTAATGTAGGTGATAGAGATTCGATGGCTTAACCGATGCTAAGGTTTTATTCTACCGTCAGCATGTCACCCGAGCAGCATTCTTATGGTCCAAAATGTACCAGCAAAAATGTCAGTGGGCCATTAGTCTTCCAGCTTTTGAAACACGTTAAATCGTTACCATTTATATTAATGAAAAAGGCGGAATTCAAATTCGTTGTCAAAGAAATAACAATGTGTTTAACTTACTTGGCGTTTTGCTTTACCATTTAATATATATGAAATATAACGGCCCGATGAAAAATTAACCCTCTTATTGTGGGTTTGCTAGCACACTGCCAGCTTTCAGTACGCCTGATAAAAATAACATTCGTCTGTCAAGCCTTCGAATTTGCGCCAAGAAGCATCCTCTTGCTTCTAGTGGCCTAGGGGACAGTTTAATCAGGTCACAGCTCCATGGTATTGTAGCACCTGCGATGATGGACACAGAACATACAACGAATGTACCTCATTCTTTAGGCTATATAACAAAAACGACCCAACAAAGCGGTGTTGTTTTGCGCCCATGCACTGAGGTGCTAAAATACAGTGGAGCGTGGCCTCCTGAAACTGTCCCGTAAGCCACTAGAAGCAATCGGGCAGTGATTCGCCGTGTAACTCAGGAGAATGGCGGAAATGTATTTTTGATGTTCAAATACTGGGTTATTAAAAGGTTATTGCCGCATAAAGTTCGAAGACTTGAATATTGAGTTATGCACTAGTTCTCTGTCATTGTGGTATAACTCAACACGTTTTTCTTACTTCCTAGATGTGAAAATTGTTTTGCTACAAAAACACTGTTGGCAGGTTAAATCATAGTCGCACCTTCAGCTTCATCAAATGAATCTCACCATCCAAGCGCATGGGAAACTCTTAACCTAAAATTGCAAATTGTTCCTCTCATGAACATCAACAAATCCTTCTCGTTGGAAATTTTGTTCGCCCTCGTCATCATCATTCTTTCTATTGCGTTTATTCTTCTTCTGCTTCTGGAGGACTTTCAGACGATCTCCTGCAAAAAGCTGGTAATCAGAGCCTGCTCTCCGCCTTCTCACAGCTGAGAGCGAAGCAACGCCACAGTGGCTGATGAAGAGCAACAGAACGACGACGAAGATACCAGTCATCAGCAGAGCCGCTACCCGTTCTCCTAACAGAGGAGGCGGACAGCGCAGTATTGTAATAGTACCTCAGTTAACGCTCTGCTAGAACCACACCGACAGTCCGAAATTGGAACATATCTTAAGTCAGAACCAAAGAGCAGCAGCTCCTCGATGATGCCGTGAGTTACCAACTCGACATGGTTGAATTCATGTCAACGAAGAGCAAGGTACCCGATCCTTCGAACCTCTGCCAGTGGAAGCTGCCCTACTCATGGCGCGTACTCAGGCGATGCTCTCGTTCTGGTAGAACCCAACCTGGCTGGCAGAATCACTGAATGGAACCTTGTCAGCGGAAGGTGGCAGTCCTCCGACTGAGGGTGCAACAGGCTAAAGCTTTCACCTTGTTAGGGGTATATGCGCCCATCTTTGAGAGAAAATGATTCCTTTCTTGAGGAAGTGAAACTTGCTCTGTACGAAGTGCCGAATACGGAGTCCCTCATTCTCATTGGCGATTTTCATGCGCATGTCAGAGTAGACGGTAAAAAGTGGAACGGCGTGATTGGAAAAAACGGCCCTAGCGACCTCAATAATAACGGCATGAAGTTATTGCGGTTTTTTGCAGACAACGGATTGTCCATTATGAACACCTTCTTCGAGCATCGAAAAGTGCATCGTTACACCTGGTACCAGGAAGCTTGTGCACAGAAGTCGATGATCGATTTGATTATCGTATCGTCTGACTTGAGCCGCTCAGTAATGGACGTTCGCTTTAAGAAAGGCACAGAGCTATCAAACGATCACCGTCTTGTTGTTGATAAGCTAAGCTGTTCGAAATGGAGTATCAGACGAAGATCTGGTGACACAGGCAACCTGAGAATCAAATTGGAAACAGTATCTTCGATGGATAGAAGAACGAAAAATGCAAACAACTTTACATCGCACCACGTTTTGAACAGATCCCGGTGACGACCACTGATGTGGAAACCGAGTGGCAGCTCTTTAAGAGCGGCATCTCGAGGCTGCCGCCGAATGCTGCGGATTTAAACGGGTTGGTCTGCTGCCTGGAGGTCAGAAAAGATCTTCTTGGTGGACATGAGAGGTACAATTGGCAGTTAAACAAAAGAAGGCAGCGTTCAAGAAATGGCTTGGAAACAAAGAGCCTTCTACTCACGTGCGATATGTTGAAGCACGCATGGCGACAGCGAAAGAAGTTGCGAAAGCCAAAGCTGATTCCTGGAGGAACTTCTTTGAGCTGTTGGAGTCGAATTTCCAGACGGCCAACAAGATATTTGGCAGACCATCCGCCGGCTCCGACGTGAAAAAATGGGCGGTCTAAGAGTCTTGAAGAACATGTCTGGAGGCCCTCTTACCAAGGATAAGAACATTCTTCTGTGATGGAGAAAATGCTTTGAGGAACTACTTAATCTCGAACAACCGCAGGAAGACTCGCCTCTAGAGCACCAGGGAACGGATATTCTGTTTCTGTGAAATGCTTGAAAGATGAAAAGCCTGTTGAAACTAATCAGATCCGCGATAAAATGCTCAAAGCATTAGACTAACAGGATAAGTGCTGGCTTACGCGTATCTGTCAAGCTGCAGTGGCTACGGTTAAAACACCAGCGGTTTGAAGAACGGGAGTCGTACTACCACTGTTGAGAAACGGATACCACTGATGTTGTTCCAGTTATCTGGGCATTATTTTATTCAGTCTCCAGGGTAAAGTCTAATCAAAGGTACTAGAAAAGAGGTACCTGGGGGGGGACCTTACCTTGACTTCAGGGCAGTAGAAGATCAGCGTGGCTTGCGGCCCGGTCAAAGCACCTCTGACCATAGATTTGTCCAATCCAAGATTGTTGAGAAATCCTGGGAGTTCGCCCATTTTGTGTACATATGTTTGACCGGATGCCGAGCAGCAGTCTATGCGCTTGCCAGCGAACATATGGGATGGATAGCCAGTAGCTACGGACAGTCCAATCTCTATATGTTAATAGCAAGTGCTGCGTAAGAGTAAATCGCCTTAGGTCGAAATGTTTCAGCGCTGGCACCGGTCTCTGCCAAGGCTGTGTTCTGTGTTTTACGTGGATAGAATATTCAGATGCAAACAGAACGGTGATTATATCAGCGTAGAAGATGTGGAGGCGAGAAGATTGCTGCTTACCGACAACTTTGTTTTGATGGCATCTTCTGAAATTCATCTACGGCGCTCTCTAGAAAGGTTCACTTGGCTGGCATGCGTGGGAACGCATCTAAAACGAAAATCCTAGTTCTTTCTCGTTCTCCTACTGGTTGCTCTCTTCAGATTAATGGAGAGGCACTGCTGGAGATGGAGATGTTTGAGGAAGTGATCGACCGGCGAATTAAGGTAGCGAGTGGTATTCTGCGTGAACTGTCCCGTATCTGTTGTGACTGAAGTAAAGCTGAGTTTGAAAACTAAGCTCTCTGTATAATTCGACCTTTATCGCCATGCTTGCATGCGGTCATGAATCGTGGACGATGACTGAAAATCTTTAATCCTCGGTACAAGCAGCTAAAATCGACTCTCTGAAACGAGTCGTTGACCTCACACGTGTCGACATGATCCCCAGTACAGAAATCTCAGAGAGCCTTGATCTACTGCCGCTGATTCTTCTGATTGTGAAGTCACAGCTGTGATGGTTTAAGGCGTGTGTTGCCAATGTTTCTAGAAAGAAAGGCGAAGCAACTGCGCTTCCCGGCCGATGAATAGAAGACCCAGATGACGACCAATGGTATCCCGGGACAAGTACATTGATTGAGTCTTCTCTAGACTTTGGTTGTCTTCTGCCGAAGTTCAGGCGATGACATGCTATCAGGATGGAAGCACTCTTTTAGGTGTCTGCCTTCGCGATCAGAAAATAAAAGCGGTCATGGATGATGAAGTGAAAAATCTGTTTATTGTCAGCCGGCGACATCATAAGAATACTAAAAAAGTTTAAAAATGTCGCGCAACTTTTCCCTACCATGATGTCGCTTTGTCAGCTGAAAAACGTTTCGGTTAACAATAAATTTGTTCATTGGGTTTCATTTTCATTGGTTTCGAACAATGAATCAAAAGGCCGTAGTTTCGTTCAGTCCCTTGTCCAGAATCGAGTGCAGTTTCCAAGATTATTTAGACGCATTTTTTTTTATTTTCCGTCTGCAACTTGTAGTGATTGTTAGTTGGATGTCAGGGGGGATCAAGACTTCGCATAACGATACGAAACGAGAACAGGCTGAACTCATAGACTGTGAACGCATCAATTACTCCAAATTTTTGCGCAGTTTTAAAGAATGACGTAAGCCTAGTGGGCTATAAGATTCGTGAACTTCAGGTGGGTATTTGGATAGTCTTCTCTAGTAGTAGTCTATTTTTAACCTCAATTTTGACTTATACCAACTTATCTCGCACTTTCTTTAAATTTCACAGACTCGGCGACAGTTCTTTCGAAGACGCCAAGCATTCAGTTCATACCAAAAAGCATCTCGTCGTTTCTGTACTGTCTAATCGATGCCAACCCACCGCTGAAATTCGTCATTTGGACGAAGGACGGCCAAATTGTCAACACCGATACCGGAAAGAGGACGAACGTCTTTCTCTCGGACAACGGCTTGAAGCTGCATTTCAGGAAGGTAAGCGCTATCCCGTTTTGGTTTATAAAGAAACCGGACGATCATAAACTTATAGCCTTCGCTTCAGGGAACGATGAAGGACGGCGGCATCTACTCATGCCAGGCGTACAACGCCATCGGAGCTAGCAACGCATTCGAAATACACGGCATCGTCGCAGGTATGCAGGCGTCTACTGAGGAACAGAAATAAATATATGATGATTATTAAATAGGTTATTTTTAATTTGAAGCGGTATGATCAAAACTATCATAGTAAAAT